GCAGACTGAAGAGCGTGCCTGCCAGCGGCCTGGCCCTCCACGGAGCACAAGCTTATCAAGTAAAAGTGTCTGGAGCCACGTCTCTTCAGTCTTTCTGCAAGCTTCGTCTCTAGGGGAGCTGGCATGAGTGTTGTAGCCCAGGAAAGACCCACACACAGCACTAAATCCCAGGTCGCCCACATGTCGGCCAGCTGTGCAGTCGCAGCTGTGTAATCGCAGCAATGCATCAGCAGCACCGCCAATCCCCCAGAAGGTAAGAACATCAGGGGCCAAGTAAGGAGAAAAACCGGTTGGTGGGCTAGAGATGGCTCAGCATTCAAGAGCACTGCCCGCTCTTCCAGAGGACCCAGGTTCGATCCCCAGTACCCATATATATGGTGGCTTAAAACTATCTCTAGGTCCAGTCCCAGGGGATCTGATACCCTCTTCTGACCTCCAAGGACACCAGATACACACACGGTGTACAGACATAGATGCAGGGAAAACACTCATACTCATAAAAAATGAATAAATCTAAAAAAGAAAAGAACCAGGGAGCAAGGAACACAGGGGCTTCTAGGGTAGAGCAAGGTAAACCAACTCTAAGGACCTGGGTCTCCAACAGAGATGTCTTAGAAATTCACAGCTGAGGTTGGACAAATGGCTCAGCGGGTGCCGTGCAGTTTCGATCCCCAGCACCCACACAGATACAGGAGAGCAAAGCAGCCCAACACCCGGCATCCACCTCCGACCTCCGTGCACATCACACACATGTGCATGAGCACGAGGAAAAACACCTACACACATGCACATGTACACAAGCAGATGGAGGAAACAAACAGCTGCCCAGGCCCAGCCGACACCACGCACTTACTTGCAGTATGTAAAAGGCGACACTTATAAACCATTTGATCTTGGCCAACTGAGCTGTCCGTGCTTTCACTGAAAGGAAAAAAAGGTGAAACATGAACCGATCCTGCAAAGTTGAGAAAATACCCAAATACACAGAAATGTCATTTTCCCTTATAAAAACACCTTCTATAATTATAAATCAAATAGTCAATATACTTAGAAATCTCAAACAGAACAAAGTACAACACATAAGCATGAAATGCCATGATGAAACTCCTCAGCCGGTATACAAACTCAGGGAATTTGAAAGGTGGTATTGTTATGCTATCTCAGACTGCATTCTCGAGTTCCTGCATTCTTCCTGACGCGCTCGCCACCGACCAACAGGACTAAACATCATCTCCATTTTCTAACCTGTACCATCTCCTGCACCAGCAGGAGTTCAGCTCCCCCAGGTCTGCATAGGCCCCTGTGTGCTCTACACTGTGCAACCCACTCCACCTTAAACGGTCCAGCAGGGCCCCTCAGGGCACACTGCTCTCTAAAGACACATGCATATGCACAAGCATGTGTGTAAGAGTGTGCATGTGTGTGTGAGAGAGAGATGAGAAAGAGTGTGCATGTGTGTGTGAGAGAGAGACAAGAGAGAAAGACAGAGAAATGGGGTGTGTGTGTGTGTGTGTGTGTGTGTGTGTGTGACTGTGGAGCCCTGGCTAGCTTGAAACTCGCCATGTAGACCAGGCTGGCCTTGAATTCAAAGAGACCTGCCTGACTCTGCCTCAGCGCACTGGGACTCAAGTGTGCACCACCCTCGGCACAAGAGCTGCTCCCTGACATCTATATACTGTGGCGTGCTCCTGAGAGTGAGACAAAGTACCCTGAGACCCACTGTGTGCTGCGGGACAATGGTCTTGTACCCTGTAAAGATCTGTCACTTGTACTGATTTAATAAAATGCTGATTGGCCCGTAGCCAGGCAGGAAGTATAGACGGGGTGATCAGAACAGAAGAATTCTGGGAAGAGGAAAGGCTCAGTTTGCAGTCATCACCCAGACGCAGAGGAAGCAAGATGAGAATGCCTCACTGATAAAGGTACCAAGCCACGTGGCTAACACAGACAAGAATTATGGGTTATGCCTGAGCTGGCAGTCCCTACAGTGGTGGAAGTGGTGGACATGGTAGTAGAAGGTTTTTAAAGAAACAGCAGAAAAAGGCTACAGTCCTTAGCAGGAGAGAGCGAGGAGCTGTCGGGAAATTCAGGTTCCTTGGAGACAGGAGTTGTAAAAGTCTGCGCAGAAGAAGCGGTGACCCACAGTCAGCAAAGACACCGCAGCTGAAACAGGAGGCCCTTCCTGTTCAGGAAGAGTGCAGCTGCTGACTGATGCAGTGCAGTGTCGATTAGAGGTACATTCCTGAGGTCTTTCTCTTTGTCTTTTCATTGCATCAGGTATATTGCCTTGTAAATTGTGGTAGTGGTACCAGGAATAAAAAATTAAGGAATTTTAAAAAAAAGAAAGAAAGCCTGAGCTAACAGGCCAACCAATCTAGATTAATATAGGCCTCTGTGTTTCTTTGGGACCAGGCGGGGACAGAAACCTCCGTCAACAACTGTGTGGTCTTTATCTGGACTTTCCTCAGCAAAGCACCAAACCTGAAAATGAAAATCTACAGAGGACGAAGAAAAATCTGCAATGATTTCTAGATCTAGAAAGCAAATGTTTACCAGTAAATAGGAAGAAGTGATTGTGTCAGATCCTGCACACGACTAACAGGTCGTATCACTGTAGGCCATCTAAGATGCATACACCTCAAAACCATACACGAAGGCCCTCCCCAGTCAGCCCACGGCACCTGCCAGGTTACAAATGACTGCTAGATGGGTACCGTGAGTTTTGAGCTTGTCCGTCATTTTGTTGATCTTTCTTTCCAGTCTGGCATATCTGGCAAATTCATCCATCATGTTGACAGTGGCCAGCTCCTGCTTCATGTCCTGGATCTCCGCCCTCATCTGCGACTCCTGTTCTGCATCCTTCTGCAGCACCCTGGACACCTGGCAGGGAGGAGGCCAGCATCAGTGTCCTTCCCTCAGCTCTGAAGAGGGGACCTGTGTGTGCTCACCGAGACCCAGCCAATCCAAGACTGGCCTTCAAACAGGCCCAGCTACTACACGGTTTAGGGACTGCAGGATGACACTGGGGAGTCATGTGACTGCTGTCATGCCCCCACAGCCAAAGCAGAGCAGGACAGGAATGGCCACCAGGTGGCGCCCACCAACGATCAGAGTTTGTCAGGGACAGTGCAGAGCAGAAAGGCACAAGTCAGGCCAGTACCATCATCAAGTGGAAGCGCTAGCGATACCAGTGGATGTCAGATGCAGTAACAGCACACTGTCAAGAACCCTCCAAAAACAGCGCAGAGCCCCTGCCAGAGTCAGAAGACCCCCAGACTGGAGACATCAGCGATCACCACAAACACAGTCACGGTGGAAAGAATCTCATCTAATGAGAAACCGAAGCAGGCCTTTGACGCGTTTGTCACTGGCCCTACAGCCAAGAACTCTGCTCACTCAGCACAGGGCTGTCAGCCTCCCTTCAAGGGTTCCAGGCGGGGGTGAGGGGACTTCTTTCCAAACTGCACGACCAACTCCTGCATGTGACATTTCGTCCAAACTTTTTAAGAATAGCTCTGTTTTTTAAAGATGAAAAGCGAAGTATCTGAAGTATACCTGGCCCACAAGCATCACCCCCAGCTCAGAGGGCCCCTCTGCTTGCCACACAACAGGGCAACTGCAATTACAGCCACAAGCAAACTCTTCACTCCAGTGTGCACACAGAGTCCAGGTGCCCCCACAGCAGAGCCCTTAGGCTGGGGCCAGCACTGAGTCATCCTGGCGGCTGCACATCGAGCTCACTACTGGGTCATGTCTGAGGCTGGTACACAGAAAAGGTATGAAAACAGCCTCTCTTTGCTACCCACGATCCACCGCTCAAACGGAGCATTACTCTGGCCTGGTCCACCCTGGAGACGAAAACAGGGATGGACCAAAGTCTCTAAAAGTCACCGAGGCAGACCACAGAGCACTCGGGGGTTGAGAGCACTTTTTTGGTTTTTTTTAATAGAGGATCAGGGCTGAGTTTGCAGCACCCATATGGTGGCTCACAACCATCTGTGACTCCAGTTCTAGGGTACCTAACACCCTCTTCTGAATCCATGGGCACCAAGCATGCAGGTGATATACAAACATACGTCATACATGCAGGCCAAACACCCATATGCACATAAATAATTTTAAAGGTCATACACCATTTTTTGTCATTTCTTTTTATTTATTTTTATTTTATGTGCATTGGTGTTTTGCTGTGGGTGTCAGGTTCCCTGAAACTGGAATTACAGACAGTTGTGAGCGGCCATGTGGTTGCTAGGAATTGAACCCAGGTCCTCTGGAAGAGCAGTCAATGCTCTTAACCACTGAGTCATCTTTCCAGCTCCCATACACCATTTAATGGTAGTCACAGAGCTACTATTCAAAATCAAGGGCTCTATAAAGGCTGCTTAAACAGGAAACAGGAGCAAGCTGGGCCTGGGGGTGCACACCCATAGCCCCATCGCTAGGGAAGCTGGGCCTGGGGAGTGCACACCCATAGCCCCATCGCTAGGGAAGCTGGGCCTGGGGAGTGCACACCCGTAGCCCCATTGCTGGAGAAGCTGCAGCAGGAGATGCTGTTCAAAGCCAGCCAGGAGTGCATGGCCACCTCCAGACTGACAAGAACTGCACACTGGGGACTATCTCAGAAGAAAAACCATCTTTTAGATGATCCAGACTCACAAATGCCCTGGAGACAGAACCGAGACTCTGAGACACTAAATAAGTTTGTGAAATTTATATCGAGATGACTCAGGTGGCAGAAACACCCAGAGAAACGAAGGACAGATGCTAGCCTTCCTTCTTCCTACCCTGTGGGCAAGAGACTTGAAGTTACTCAGGGAAGGGCCAAACCCGATTCTACCACTGACAACCCAAGGGCCAGATAGGTCTGAAAGCTGGTGGCATGAATTAAACAGCCCGGCTCCTCCCTCCTGGAATTCCACAGGCAAGCACAAAAAGGACCAACCCAGGTCACCAGCATGGGTGTGTCTCCAACACCCATTTCATCTCACAAAGGAGTCACAACCCAAAGACAGAAAGTCCAGAGGTCTGCTGTCCTCAACTAGTACCAGATCATCTACAGCAACTCCTTGGGCTGGGCCAGTCTCCTGGGATGCTGGTTACCCACTCGTGTACCTTCAAGGGTCCTGTCAGCCAAACACTCCACCCATCACCCCAGGAACACACCTCTCAGTCAAGGCCCTAGAAGTGTATCCTGTTAGATTACTATGTCATCCTAATACTTGGAAGCAGCAAAAATCCTGTCCCAACCAGTTATGGTGGTGCACACCTTTAAACTCAGCACTTGGTTGGCAGAGGCAGGCAGATCCCTGAGTTCGAGAGTAGCCTCGTCTAAAGTGATTTACAGGACAGCCAGGGCTACACAGAGAAACCCAACCCTGTCTAAATCAATCAATCAATCATCAATCAATCCAAAACTCCCAAACAATAACCTTGCTAAGAGGCTGGTCTGTAGAAACGGAATACCTAAGATCCTGGAAGGAGCTGGCCAAGGCTTGGAGCAGAAAGTGAAAGGTAACTTCTAAACTGCTGAACACATCGTGAACACCAGCCGGGCCCCATGCTCCTGCCAGGAAGTCCACATGGGCACCTGCACACTGCAACTCTCAGGTCCGCACTCAGTCCCTTGGGCACTAGAACATCAGAACTCACCCCATGTCTGCCATGTCAGGCCTGGGAAGCATGTACAGTTTGCGCATCTCAGGAGAGCCTATCCAACCTGTACATGTGAGTTCGGGGGCACCTGAGCAGTGTGCCTGCCGTGCATGTGCACGGTGTGTTCCCACCCCAGCAGTCACCCTGCAGCACTGAGGGTGCTCACCCTCCTGACCGCAGTGATGCCTAGAACGTGAGCAAAATTACCACTCAGAATCGCAGTGAGGGAGCCTACACTCTGAACACCTAAGCTCAGTGCTACTGTCCCAACCCAACCATCTTGTCATCAATTTGTTACACTTGGTCATTCAAATCAGAGACGGGGGCAGAGGTGCTCTAACCATTATGGGGAGCCGTATGCTGGCCTCATACCAGGATGTTCCCAATAGCTCCCTCCCTGGAAACCCAGTAACCTAACAAATGGGATCACTCCGTCCTCTCCCCTGTTCTGAACACCAATTCAGATGGGCTGTTCTCCACTACGGTATTAAATCATACATTATCTTTCTGCACCCAGCAACCATCCCGGGTGTCACTCCCAAAGGGTTTGACTCATGGATTAAAAGCAGAGGCCACACAGCCCACGGGACAGCCCAGGTCAAGTCCAGGTGCATCCTCCCAGCGCTGATGCCCTATGCACCCAGGGCAGATACTCAGGCATGTACACCCAGAGTAACAATCCTTCCTGACGAGAACCTGAGATGAAGACAGGATATGCATCTCTTCCCTATCTACCTGCTACTGGAAACTCATGATGAACTCCCTAAGGACAGCCACACACGGCCTCCTTGAGCAACTGAGCTGTTTCCTTAGCTCCACTGTAATGAAATGGTACGAGACACAGGATGGAAGAGGTGCCACACAAAGGCAGGAAGGTGGCCCAGTGGTTAAAGCTCTTGCCATACACGCATGAGGAAGCCACCTAAAAGGTGGATATAGTAGATGCCCCTCTGTAATTCCAACCTTGGAAGATAGAGACAGGATCCCCACAGCAAGCTAGCTAATAAGACCAGCCCTATCAGTGTGCTCTGGGTTTGACGGAGAGATCCTGCCTCAGTGAATAAGGCAGAAGACTGACCCAGGACTATCCCGGATATCAACTTCAGTCCTAACACACATATATACAACCCCCCCCACATATATATACATGTGCCCATACACACAAAAACACACGCACACTAGATGAGATTGAGAAATAAAACAACACAAGGAACCAGGATGAAAACACACATAACCTACAGTGCGCGCTACCACACAGTTTGTGAACCGGGCAAAGGGCTGGAGATTGAAACACACAAAGACACACAGAAAGAGACATGGGTCATCCTTGATGCCAAAATGCCCCCTTTATTGTGTCCAGGGGCAGCTTATATAGGGATTCTTAATTGATAGCCACACCCCAGGCAAACGCACCAGAAACCACTCCCCTGCCATCAGGAACACCTGAGGGTCTCGTGCCCAGAGCAGCTGCAAGCATTACAAGTTGTTTACCAGAAATTCAGAATCTGGGGGGTTCACTGCTCCTAACAATAACCGGTATGAACCCCACAAAGGGTTGCTGTCCCAACACGTAAGAAGCTCGCTCTAACCACCGAAACAAACAACGGATTACCGAAGGAGAGAGACTTCTCCAGGAAGAGCCAGTTTCCGTCTCTCCCCTCAGCCGCCCACACAGACGGCTGCTGTGATCCCAAACGTGTAGGCTCACTAACTAGGTGTTCTCCACGCCAACCTGCAGACGGGGTCAATTTCCACCGTCGCCACCTCAAACCAGTCACACACCTACAAGTTAAGAGTTCCTCTGACCCTTCTTCGGGCTCCACTGATTTGCTAGACCAGCTCACAAAACTCAGAGAAACGTTCTTGTTCACAGGTGCATTACAAAGAATTTTTCCAAGGTCACAGGTACAGGCTGGAGGAATGGTTCGGCAGTTAAGCACACTTGCTGCTCTCGTAGAGGACCTGGGTTCCCAACACCCATATGGCAGCGCACGCCATCTGTAACTCAGTTCCAGAGGATGTGACAACCTCTTCTGGCCTCCACAGGCAACTGCATTCACATAGTACAAATACATACACTCGGAACACACACAAAAAATAACCAACAAATAGCTACAGATTGGGGGGCTGGAGAGATAACCCAGTGGTTAAGAGCACTAGCTGCTCTTGCAGAGGACATGGGTTCAGTTCCCAGAACCCACAACTGTGATTCCAGTTCCAGGAGATCCAACCCCCTCTTCTGGCCTCAAAGGCACTGCACACGTGTGGTGCACTTACATACATGCAGACAAAACACACATAAACATAAAAATAAAAATCAAAAAGAAACGCGAGTTGAGCAAGAAGGGTATGGAGAAGGGGCCCTCTCTGCAGCCGGGGATCTGCCGCTCCAGGACCAGGCACCCACGAGGATGCATGCCCGGGGTTGCAGCGTGGAAGTGGGTTACCAGCGCGACTCATCTGAGGCTTCCAGCTGCCAGAAGGCGTGGCTCCGGGAGTCCCCACCCTCCAGGGCGCAGTAAGCGGACTTGATTGGAACCTGGCGACCTGTCAGAAGCTAGGAGCCACTGAAGGTAGAAACCTTGCGGCACACACCGAGCAAGGCCCGGAGCCCCGGGATCCGCCATCCCCCGGCTGCTACTTACGAAGGAGGACAGGGACGGCAGGAGGATCCGCAGCACGTTGCACCCGAACACGAAGCTCAGCACCAGCAGCCACGCCCAGCGGTCCGCCTCGGACTCGCTCATCCCGGCTCCCACGCACCACCAACGCTACTGCAGCGCCATGGGGACCACGCCGCCGCGCCCGCCTGCGCCTGCGCACTGCAGCCCCGCTCCGCGACGGCGGCGCCCGGGAGCCCGATCTGTCAGCTGCGCCTGCGCCGGCGCTCAGCCCCTACGGCAGCACCATGGGAATCGAGCAGCCGGCGGCTCGCGCGCCTGCTCACTTCACCTCTCTGGGGCTCAGCGGGATGGTACTTAGGACTCCTCTTCCCCTTTTTGCCTTCCCGGCTACCGTAGCCACGTGGTGCCCAAACAAGTTTTAGCAAACCGTGATTGGGTTGTGCAGTGTCTGTAGTATCTGGAAATTATTTATGTTTTTACCGAATTACGTCACCTTTATTTTTATTATTATGAATAATAGTAAAAAAATTTTGGTTTTTCCAGGCAGGGTTTCTCTGTGTTGCCCTGGCTGCCCTGGAACTCGCTCTGTGGCCCAGGGTGACCTCGAACTCACAGAGATCTGTCTGCCTCTGCCTACCAAGTACTGGGATTAAAGACTAGTGTCACCACCGCAGACAACTCACTTTTATTCTTAGATAAATTTATTTTTAGGATAAGTCTTTGCATGCACAGAAACCTGCTTCATCGTAGCAAGTAACTAAAAATTGTTTTCTGCTCAGCCCCCGCATGTTAAATGACTTGTCTACATTTTTTAAACTAAACACTAGTAAACACGAACAACATATAAAATTGTATTTCTAAAAATAAGTTTATTAATCAAAAGAGATCACTTAGTGACTGTTAGAGACTTGCCAACTATGTGTGGAGTCTTAGGTCCCATCAGCACACTTTAAAAAAACGGGGGAAGGAAAAGGAAGTTTTACAGTGAGTCTTTAATAAAATTACCTAAATTAGGCAATAATGAATATTCATAACAAAAGAACCCAATTCACTTACATATGGTGAATAACGTGATAAAATGAAAGATATTGCTATGTGTTTTCTGTCATGGTAGAGTCTGAGAATGGGGAACTGATAGGAATGGTGACTAGTTCTACACATATTAGGTGAAAGGAAACATGGGACGGTTATCTGTTATTAATCCCGCCATCTAGAATAAGACCACTACTAAAATCTAAAGCCAAATTTGAAGCAAGCTTTAATTAAATACTGACCAGTTGGATGAAGTCTGGCCAGGTTCATCTCTGGGTTTCCAGAAGATGTCCCCGAATCAAGGTTTGCAGCAGTTTAAGTATTTCCCACTAGGTCCTATCAGGAGCAAGCATATATCCTGATATACTTCCAGCCTACATCCAATCAGGGGCAAGCATACATCCTGATCTACTTCCTGCCTGTGACCTCCCTCCCACATGTGATCAGCATATCCAGTGAGCTGGCTCAAACAAACTTGTTTATGGGATTGAAAACAGGTGTCTTATCTCCATAAACAATAGCCTCCAACATTTCAGGAACTATCTGTCCTCAGGCAAGGGGCTTGCAGATCAGAGACGGTTTTTGTCTCATGGATAGGTATAGTAGTTAAAATTTAAAATGCAACTTTGGCTCTCCCACTACCAGCAGTGATGGAGTGAATTATCTTCACGAAAGGGCATGCTGACGGGTAGACTCCCTCTTCATAAGCTTCCCCTCCAGCTAGACTACCTATGCCCCAACAGGCTGCCAGTTCCAACACACTGGAGCTTTAGATGGATTGAGGAGTGACTGCCTCATGAGAAGTGGTGGTGGTTGTATCCTTGTCTCCCTCTCCCCACAACCATCCTCCACTCCCCCATGTCTGCTTACTTGGGGTTGCCATGTCAACCCCAAGTCTCTGCCTTTCAGAGAGAAGAGGAAAGTATCAATACTGCAGTGCCCACCCCATCCACCTGTCACACCACTCCAGGGGGACCATTCTGTCACTGTTAACAAAATTACTGGTGAGTATCCTGTAACAGGATACATGCTGCCCTGTAATAGATACATGGGTAGGACAAGCTCTTCCTGGCCTTTGGGAGCAGCTCAGTCTGAACGATTCAACTCTGCCCTCAGTTCTCAGTTGAAGACGAGTTCTAATCTGTATAAAAAGTGTGAAAGCGTCGGTCAAGATCCAGCACAGGTTGTGGTAAGCAGAACTCCTAACAAGATCTTGCTTATTTATTAATTCTGCTATGGTGACAGGACAAGACAGTACAGAGGTACCTCCATCTTGTATTCTTACTGAGATCATCTCAGGTTTATGTAAAATTTAACCTCCTTGATGAGAATCCCATGGAAAATTGCCCAAAATGACCTTCTGGGAACCCAAGGTCAAGATGCCACAGCTAATATACCTTCTCTTCAACTTCCTGCTTGTGCAAACCTCCCCCACGTGAAGAGACGCGAGGACATGGTTTCTGCCTTTCAAAACTCGTGCTCTGGACACGCAGTGTTACACTTAGGTCCAAATACCTAAGTGTAGTCTTAGCCAACCAGAATAAAGACTTTCAATTGGCAATAAACTGTGTTTGAATATTCATCTCTGGTGGCTCCCCTTAACACTGTAATAAAATACCACACATTTAGTGGCTTGAGTTTGCATGAATTTGTCATCTTATTGTCCTAGAGCTTAGAGATGTGAAGTAAGGCTCACTAGGCTAAAAATAAACTGCCTTCCTTCTGGAATTCCTAAGGCAGAGTCCATTTTCTAGCTTTTTCCAGCATTTGAGACCAGCACTCTGGCCTCGTGACTCTTATCCATCTTCAGAATTGGCTACCCCAGCACTCTGTTTGGGCTCTCAATCCGGCATCATTCCTACCTCCCAATTTCCTCTTTCACTGTTGGAAGCCTTATGGATACACTGGATCCATGTGAGTGACCAAAGGTCATCTTCTAGGCTAGGAACCTCTAAATCAGGCAGGAAGATGTGGAAGCAGAAAGACCAAAAATTCAAGATCTGACTGGGCCTACAGTAGTGGTGCATGCCTTTAATCCCAGAATTTTGGGAGGCAGAGGCAGCTGGATATCCGAGTTTGAAACCAGCCTGGTCTACAGAAAGTTCAAGGTGGGAGACTGGAGGCCAGTCTATGGAACATGGACCCTGTCTCACAAACAGTTACCAAGTCCTCTGTGGTTGAAATATTTTACTAACAGAATATGATAATGGACCCCAGTCTGTTTCTTCCTGGTGGTTAACTAAGCACTGTGTCTAACTGACACCTAAGATGCCAAGACACTTAAGACACCACCAAAGCCAGCTCAGTGAACCAATGAGTTTCACTGGGGTTACTTAGGGGAATATGTATGAGGGGTTACTTACAGGAGCAAAAATGACTCAAAGACAGCTTCATCACCAAAGCCTACCCACTGTGGGTGATAACTCCCAAATCTGGGAACCTAGAACACAATGTACCACCTGCAGGAGACTCAACAAGCTGGAAAGTGCCCTTTCTAAGGTCACACATAGTCCAAACCTCTTTCCCGCAGTTCAGCTGGTTTCTGTTTCTTCCAGGCAGTGGATCTGTTGCCAAGAATGTTCTTCACAGCTTGGTTGGTCGGAGTCTTCATTGCAGCTTTGTTCAGTTAGTCTGAGAGGGACACTCAGCTTTCATTGTATATTCTGGCAGTGAGGAAGCCTATTAATTTAGTCAATTTCAGAGACTTCCTGAAGCTATTCTGAGTTGTTTAGCTTCCTGCTGAAGGCACTTCCCTGCAGGATGGAATATTTCAACCTCTGAGAAATGTTATGCAACATTAATGTTATGGTATCTGCATAATTTCGTAGTTTTCTTTTTTATAAAAGCTGTCAAATATGTTAGATGTAAAAACATTAAAGCTAGACAGGCAGTGGAGGTACATGCCTTTACTTCCAGCACACAGGAAGCAGAGGAAGGCAGATCTCTGTGAGTTCGAGGCCAGCCTGGTCTACAGAGCAAGTTCCTGGACAGGCACCAAAGCTACACCTGTCTCAAAAATAGCAACAAAAAATTAAAAACAAAAACAACCATGTTCAAGCTAATGTGGTGTAAGACTTTAAGACACTTCTGAAGCCATTTCTGACAATTATAAACCCTCTCAGCCTCCGTGCCTTAGTGCTTCCCCTCCTCCCCTGGGAACCAAGGACCTAACAGCTACACATGCACGTACTCAGTTCCTGAACAATTACCCATCCACGTATGTTTTGACCCCTGGGAAATGGGGTCAAAATGACCTCTTACCTCATCTGATCTGACAATAGCTCTCCAGCCAATTATTGGTATTAGCCCTTTTCAAATAAGCCAATCATAATGGTCAAGGAACAACCCCCTTGTTTCTATGGGGCTTTCTCCTTTAAAAGAAGACTGTACCAGCTATTCGAGGTCTCTCGGCTTCTTGAATGCTGAGGGACCTGTCATGACAGAATTAATAAAATCCTCATGTTTTTGCATCGGCTGTGGTGTATGAGGTGATCTCTGGGGGCGACTCCTTCTTGGTGTTTGGACACTAGAGTTCAACAGTGGAACTTGAGCATATAAGGACTAACAGATATTTTCTTTCCATTTTGGTTCTTTGAGACAGAGTCTGTCTTAGTTAGGGTTCTTATTGCTGTGAAGAAACACCACAAGCACGGCAACTCTTATAAAGGAGAACACTTCACTGAATGTAATAAGTGGTAACTTACAGTTTCAGAGATTTAGTCCACAGTGGTGTTCAGGCAGACATGGTGCTGGAGAAGGAGCTGCTGTGTGTTGATATGCAGGCAGCAGGAAGTAGTCTGTGACACTGGGAGTAGCTTGAGCATAAGAGACCTCAAAGCCCACCCCCACAGTGACACACTTCCTCCAACAAGACAACACCTACTCCAACAAAGCCACATCTCCTAACAGTGCCACGGTTAGCATTCAGGCATTATACTGGCCCACCTCCGTCACCTAGCAGGATGATGATATCACTCAGATGGAAAAACACACTAGACTAGGTAATGGGTCTGTTAAGAGATTTTTGCAATAGTGTTGAGGAAGGCAGAAATGGTATCTGGGGCTCCCTGAACACCCAGCCTAGCTGATTCAGTGAGCTCCAGGTCCCATTGGGCTGGAGATTGATTGAGAAACACACCGAATATCAACCTCTGGCCTTGATATATACACACACACA